GCAGGCATTCCCTTGCCCCACCGTTTGTCGCGGCAATGGGCGGCTGTGTATCAATTTCGCTGCGCCGCGTGAGGCTAACGAAACCTGTGCGATTAAAGGATGACATTCGAACGCTTTTTCAAGAAATCTTACTCGACCCGCAGAAACTCAACCTCTATTACGAGAAGCTTATTGTCGCATGCTGCAACGTACGGACATTGAACGGTGATGGCAAACTGGACGACGTCACTCAAACCGCAGCGCGATACAAGCAAGAGATTCTGTAACTCTCAAAGCCTCATTACCGGCTATGCAAATCAGCGCATTGAACAGTCACTGCAAATTCTACAGGTATGGTAATCAGGACTCTCGCCCCGAGGCTGGAGTTGTAGTTCTTCTGCCTCCTTCCCTCTCTCAGCGAGGGGCGAGCAGCGAATACACTGACAATCGTTGAATACGAAAATTACAGTGTCAGCGTTTGCCGTTTCGCAACGAGAGAAGTTAAGATGAACTTTGTTACTTTCTCACCGTGTATGCCGCTACCAACGTTACAAAGGAATCAAAAAAATCAGACCAGTTCTAAAACATGCCTTTAAGCTGTTCTCGACTGCTTTCGACGACATCAGTAATCGATCATCGCCGATGACCTCAACACCAAGGTCTGCGACAAATCATGACAACTGGTCCCCCTTGATAAGTCGATATTGCAAAGTATTGGCAATAAGACCGGCTACAGCTTGTTAAACCTTGCGCCAAGCAAACCTTCTACCATCGAGAGGATGCTGCTCCCTCATCATCGCATTCATCCACCATCAAATATGACAGACGCCATGAACAAATTTTTGAAACCGGACCAAATCGATTCAGCGATGAACAATGACAAATGGCGAAGTGACCTGCATGGAACAAAACTCTAACATCGGAAATGACGATTTTCTTGAATGTAATGAATCTCCTTCATCTGGCAACGGCACGGCAACTAATATAAGAAAGCCTAGTTTGAAACCAAGAAATTGAAGGATCGACCAGATGCAAATCAACAGTAGTTTGCATCATGATGAACTATGTTATGCGAAAGAGCATCGTTTCAAATAATAACGATGGATTGACGACCGAACTTCACGCACCTCGAGACGTGCGTATTGCTAACCAGTCTTGAGTACATCGTGCTGGTGAGCGACCTCGCAAGTCGCCTACTGAAATTCACAAAAAACGGTGTGCAACACTACTATGGAAGTAGGGCTACAAGTTAACGAAAGGAAGACCATCAGTCGAGAATATTATCGGATGGTATTAAGATGGACGATTAGACGATCTATCTGTCAGAGATCATAAATCAGGGTTATTCTGCTGTTTAGGCATTGTTAGTTCCAGACGACGATGAGAAACCAACAACAACATTCAAGCAATCGCTAGAATTCGTTTCGACAACTCTGTAAAAAACGGTACAGCTGAAGGGCAAGCTGCTGCTACATCAATTATGGCTAAATAATCAATTATAACTTGAAGTGAAAACAACTTCCAGATCACTGGCGTTGGCCTGGCAGTAGTGAAGCTTCGTATTAAAGGATTTCGTACATGAATGGTCTAGGTTGTTCCTCTTAACGACGGCGGAAACCGTGATTGATTAGCGGGGGGAGGGATGTTCAGGCTACTTCAGACCAGAACTTTTTACGCAAGGAGGCAAAACTGAGTTGACATCCAACGCACATCAGAAGCTGGCTGCATCCGTGTAAGTAGACTGTTTCTTCTATAATCATAAATGCTACGCGATCTGCTACCACCTCGATGATCACTTTATCAAGCAGAAGACACCCATAAGTCTGCTTCGAACATCGGAGGAGCAGGTGTGGGATTCGATTTCGCTCGAGGGAAATCTTTGTCTTATTCATGAAATCTCTTGGGCAAAGAAATTACCACACATTGCTTCAGACCGCTTTGTTCGTTCAATAGAGCGTCCACTCAGAACCGATAGGTTTCGAGTTCAAGCCATAGTCGGGATCACTCGCCCTTCTTCCTTTTGAGGTTGATAAATGAGTATCTGTCTGTGGGAAAGAAACAAGAGACTTCACGCTACTCGCATGGAGCGTAGACTCTGCGTTAAAAAATAGAAGAATAAAATAGAATCCTCTGCTGATGGCTGAAAACGGAAATCATCATCGCATCATAATTTTTGCATTCCATCACCTCAATGGACGCGG